GGCAGGGCACGGCGTCCCCCAGCCCTGCCCCGGGCGCCGACGAGGACGACATCCGGAACGTCATAGGTGAGTCCCCCATGCCTGGCCTGGGTCCGGGGCGGCGCGGGCGAAGGGCCGAGCCTGGGACGGGTTGAAAGCTGAGGAAGGCCAGCGCGGCTCTGCTTGTGGCCAGCGGTCAGCCTGCTGGGCACCTCCCTTACGACACACACGGGGCAGTGGGGCCACGACGTCCCCTCCGCAAGTCACCGCGCAGACGTGAGCTGGGCTTCAGGCCGGGCCACACACACGCGGTGACAAAGCCGTTTCCTGCAGCGGCTCCCCCAGGCCAGTTGCTGAAGGCCTTCTTACTGGGGGGAGCCCCAGCATAATGGAAGAGGGGGTGGGGGGTGGCGGGCCACAGGTCCCAGCGCGACCTGGCCGAAGCAGACGCAGGCCACCAAGGCCCACGCAGGCTGCTTGCCGCTTAGCGAGTCTGGCGGTCCCGACCCTGGCTATTGAGACGCGGCTTTAAATGGGGCGACTTTTAAAGGGCACATCACATCCCAGTTTCCGACCCCAATTTTGTGATCTCCCAAAATGTCCACTATCATCCTCAAGGGAATTGTAAAACACTTAGAAAAACTCCAGAAACAAGCAAATTTGGATTAGCTTTTGGTCATTTAAACGAGCACTTGGCGGAAGCGTGCCTCTCGGTGCGGGGGAGGGGAGAGGCTGTCGGTGATGGACAGGGTCACAAGGTCTGGTCAGGCAACTGCCCAGGAGGGAAGCAGCTGTGCCATGTGGCCAAGGCTGAGCGGGGCCCAGATGGGAAGGACCCAGTGGCTCGGAACTGTGTCGGGCCACTTGAGGCCGCCTGAGGATGGTGGTGCTACCGTGGGCAGGGGTGGTGCTGGCCAGAGTCTCTGCAGCCCCCAGACTCAGGACCAAGAACTGTCCTCATCAGTGCCCCGAGTCACCTGACGGGCAGCCTCCCCAGGCCTTCAGTGCTGGGACCCTCAGGGACAAGCAGGACCTCCGGCCTGTGGGTGGGTGAGGAGTAAGGTCTGTGACGTGGGGGGCCGGTGACTAAGTGGCCGAGCACGGGGAGCTGTGGCGGGTGTGTACAGTCCAGCTCGCCGGCTCCGGGGCAGAGTGGACCCTCCGGGTGGGGCTGACAGCCGGGGCAGGGGACAGGGGACTGAGGGACGGCCGCATGCAGGGCACGTTCTGGGAGAGGCCAGCGGGTGGTGATGTGATGGACAGCCAAGGGCTGTGGGGCAGGGAGCGTGAGTTGGGACTTGTCCCAGAGGGGGCAGAAAGGGTCCCAGCAAAGGTAGGACACTGAGTCACCCGTTCGAGGCCGTACGGAGGCAGGCGGCGCTTGCCACGCCTGAGCACCAGCGTCTGTGAGACGCGAAGGCAGGCTGGGCTGGGTGCGAGCTGCCGGGGGCCCTGGGGTCGGACAGCCACTCTGGAAAGGGACACTGACCTTCTACCTCGGAGGAGGAGGGAAACTGGCCGGGCCGAGAGAGAGGGCGGCCTTGCCCTCGGAAGGGCCAGGCGGGCAAGGGCAGAGCCAGGAGGCGCACGTCCCCCTGTGGGGCGCCTCTGACAGAGGGCTTAGCCCGGCGGGGGGGCATGACGCCCCCCTGGGACGGCACGCATGTCCCACCTGGGGCCAAGAGTGGGGCGTCCTCCAGCGGACCTCCCGCTTCACGATTTTCCTGTCGTGAACACAGGTCAGTCGAGGGAGCGAGGCTTCGCCTGGCAGGTTCTGCTCGTCCTACAGGGACGGCCGCCCTCCCCACTGTCCCTCCCCACTGTCCCTCCCCACTGTCCCTCCCCACTGTGCAACCGGGACACAGCGACCCCACAGAGCCGCCTGGCCCCGCCAGCTGCTCCCACGGAGGGGCCTGCCCAGGAAGTGGCGCCCGTGCCCCCGCCAGCCACCCGGCTACCCCAGCCCGGGCCGAGGTGCAGCGCCCGCCCCGCCCGCCAGCTCAGGCCTCTCCTCAGACCCCGTGGGGAGCAGAACGATGGAACAGATGGAGCAATTTGGGGTGACCCGGAGTTTAGAGAACCCCAGACCTGCACCGCAGGCCTCTGTCCCTTTGCCATGAGTGAATGTCAGGGACCAGCTGTTCTGCTCATTGCTGCCATTCGTGCCTCAGTCTTGGTGGCAAGCGGCGATGTCCCAGCTGCTGGGGATGGGGGACAGGGAGCTGTGCGAGCGGATTTATCCACTTCTGTCCCGTGCCCCCTCCCGTTTCCTATGTGCCCGACCAGTGTGACCTCAGTGGCCGCATGTGGCCTCGGTGTCATCCTAGGCTGTGTCCAGCGATAATACCACACACTGAGCACTGCAGGCCTCTGGCCCGGTCCCAAGCTCAGCATGGTTCTGGTGGCCTCTAGGGCCTCCCCTGGACCCCAGGCCACTCCAAAGAGCCACTTGGGACATTGCTGAGTTCCTGTCCCATTAAGGCAGACCTGACCTTAGAAGGGGTTACCCACAGCCAGAGCTTCCTTGACCCCCAAGTCCCCAGAAGGGCCCTGACACTCTGCCCATAGCGGCGACCAGGGCACAGGCTTAAGGACAGCTCTCTAGGGACCTGGCAGGTGGCCTCAGGGCCACTGTTCAGTCAAGGTAGGTCTCTGCTAGTGGCCTGGGCCAAGACCCTCTGGCCACTCAGTGGCTGGTGGGGCTCCATGTCCCTAGTCACATCTATGGAGCCCTCACCTCTGGTCATTTGTGCTGCTGTGTATTCATCCAAGTTTTAGGATGTCTGCCTGTCCTCGGGGACAGGTCTGCAGGGCTGAGAAATCAGCGGCAGCAGGATCAAAAGCCTGGCGGTGACAGTGGCCCAGGATAGCACCAGGACGGAGCAGAGTGTGGGTAGGCGTGAGGGGCAGCAGGAGCCGAGGCTGAGAAACATCTGGGTCAGGTGACGCGGGCTGCCGACCCGCCCAGGGGCTCCGTCTCCAGGTGGGGAGACAGCAGGCGCCTGGGGGGCCTGTCTCCTGTCACCCCAACCACCCCCCTTCCCCATCTCCCTCAGGACGGTGCAAGGACACCCTGTCCACAATCACGGGGCCCACCACGCAGAACACGTACGGGCGGAACGAAGGGGCCTGGATGAAGGACCCCCTGGCCAAGGACGAGCGCATCTACGTGACCAACTACTACTATGGCAACACGCTGATGGAGTTCCGCAACCTGGAAAGCTTCAAACAGGGTAGGTGGCTGGGTCCCAGGCGGCCCTCCCAGCCCTAGGCACACCCCGCCTCCCCCGCTTTAACCGCGGTGCTGGCGGTGGCCGAGAAAGGCACAGTCTGGGTGGCGACAGGGCCTCCCCTGTGGCAGGACGGTGTCCAGCTCCCACCAGCTGGTAGCTCCTCTGTGAGCTCTGCCCTGGGCGGGGAGGGCTTGGAGTCCCCCCAAACGGCAGGGAGACGCCCTCCTGCTCCGGGGCTCCTGACAGACAGCTCGCAGCCGGGACAGAGGGGGTGCTGGGGCGCGGGAAGGC